CGAGAGCTCGACTCACGCGCTAGAAAAACGTGAAAAAAATCTTCTAAGCCGTCGCCTTTGCAGTGCCAGTCCCGTACCCATAAATAAATAAATAAAACGGGCACGCCAAACGAGGGGTGGGAGAGGGACAGGGTCCCCACCTGCACGAGCAGGATCTTGGAAGGACGATCAGGGACACAGGGGAACGGGAGCGGGGAGCGCATCGCGACACGGAGGGGGGCTGGGCAGGGTTCACCCACACGACAGGGTCCCAGGGATTCCTCTCTCGTATAGGACAGGTTGCACCCGGCGGCACGGGGGCAGGCGCGGGCCTCCTACTGGTTGCGCTCTCCTAGTTCTCCTGCTCCTGACAAGGGACAGCGACAGGCTCGCAGCACGGTGGACTCCCTATTCCACTGGCGATCTCTCTCGACTAGCGACCTTCCTCCGGCTTCTCACCAGCAGTCTCTCACTACCACGGGCACACTGACAGAGGCGGCCAAAAGTCCCGGAAGGTTGGAAAATTCTTTTTTGGTACTTCCCGCCGGTCGACAGTTTTTGCCGATAGAAACCGCAGCAAGCAAGCTTGTCTCACCATGGGCAAGGGCAAGGAGAACTCGTCCGGCAAGGAGAAAAAACTCGCACGAGCGGCGGCACTGGCCGCCGAGAAGGAGCGAAAGCAACACATCGCACAAGCCGCCGCGATCACGACGCCGCTATCGGCCTTTGAGCCCATGGTCAAGGCGGCACAAGCCAAGTTTGGCGTGGACGTCGTGCACGCTGCGAGCGCGTCTCTCTCCGAGGCGGACCACGACTTCTGCTTTGCCTTGCTCAAGCGCAACATGGAGTCTCTGCGGCTCGACGCTGGCTGGGGCTTCAACGACAGCGGCGAGCGAGCGACCCTGCGCGACGAGGAGTCGCATTTCCTCATCCTGCGGCCGAGCGGACAGGAGGACGCCGCCGCATCGCCCGCGGGCTTTTGCATGTACCGCTGGATCCTCGAGGGCGAGTGCACCGTCCTCTATGTCTACGAGCTGCAGCTCACGGCCGGCGCGGGACACCTCCGAGAGACGTCCACGCATCCCCCGCCTTCCCGCCCCCACCGGCCCACCTATCGCACCCTATCGCACCCACCTCCCGCTCGACGCCCGCTCATCCTCCGGGCCGCAGAGTACCGCGGCAAGGGGCTCGGCAAGTTTGTGATGCAGCTCCTCGAGCTCCTCGCCAACAAGCACAAGATGCAGTTCATGATGCTGACCGTCTTCAAGAACAACGACGGCGCGATGCGAATCCCCCCCCCCCCCCCCTGGTGGAACGAAAGAAATCCCTCGGGTGGATGGGGTTGGGGGCTGCTCTGTCTCCAAAGGGATGCGTGGGGTGGAAGACAAAGCCCAACCCCCAAGCCAGCGACCGGCAAGC